TATATATACTATTTAGACCACGAATGGCCAAGTGTGTCCAAGTCACGGGCCTGATTAATTCAGATTATCTCGTGGCCCAAAGCAGGAGAAAATAGGGTGACACCGGTTGCAATACTCAAGAACTCAAAAGTGAAAATAAACCTGACTCTATTGCATGTTATGTCACCTCAAAATCATTTCATGAGATGAAATATTAGATCTAATGTTCCAGCTCGGCTGGAAACTACTGATTTTAATTTTAAAGACGGACTCTTTAGTTGTTATCAGTTATCATTTCACCGAGGACAAAATTAAATTCATTATCAAGTACTAGGAGGATTCGGAAGCCAGACTAAAACTGCTCACGGTCGGAATTTGGCCTACGGGTCGTAATTTGCCCATGCCTAGTTTAGGACAATAGAGACTGGAGAAACGAAGTATGGGGAGCAGACCACATCAGAGCGTCTGGAGCATGAAGATGTAAGAAAATGTTTTTAAAAAGATCAGAATCATAGTCGCATAATCGCCAAAGGGGAATAACAATGCACTTTTTAAAGTACAGTATTTGCAGTTTCACTATTACTTTGCCTGCAAAATTCTTTTGATTGAACAGTTTCTATATATAACCTAACTGTGTTGCACTACCATAAGATTCTTTTTAAAAAAATAATTTTTTTTTGCAATTAGAAAAAATACAAGCAGTATTTACATGATTTGAGGAGACATTTCACTTGCAGGACACGTATTGAGTCATAACATAAACCTTCAGCGGATCAAACAACAGTAAAACAAAAAATTACCAAACTTACAAAAACAGAACCTCCAACCCAACACACGAACTTTTACACAGGGGCAGATCGCTGTTTCTCAAAACCAGCGACCGAGGGGAAAACCAAAATCCTATATTACATGTATATCTCTAGTTCCGTCATCCGTCAATTAAGTGTGTCTATTTTGGAGCAACCACTTTATGCACTTGTTACGGCAAGATGGGAGCAGGATTACGGAGCATACTACGGAGGGCTTGGTGAGGAAGAGAAAGGACGATATAATAATATGGGTGTGCATGATAAATGAGTGAAGGACACACACATAATACACACACAGATACACACACGAGCACACGCACGCGCACGCACACGTGCACACGCGCGCGCTCACACACACGCTCACACACACGCACACACACACACACACACACACACACACACAAACAAACACATGCGCACAGAGGGAGGGAGGG